ACCACCGAGCAGCAACCTTCCCAGCTTCTATATTTCTATTTGAAAATATTTCCTCATGTTTTAATAAAAATAGTCAAGGCTTAGAGACGTGAAGAAACTGTCTTTCCTCAACGAGTACACGACAGAGCTAAAATTCAAACTCAGATGTGACATTATTTTAGACCAGTTACCACAGCCACTCTGATCTTGTGTCTAGACCTCCTGAGCTTCCATAACGTAAGAAACAGACAGGACTTGACCTCAAGTCTCCTCTCAGGATTTTAGTGTAGAACATTTTTTTCTTTAAAAGAGGTTCAAGTCAACATGCTTAGATTGAATCATAGGGGGGCCCTGCACCTGACTGGATTTTTATCAAGGAGAAATCTGGTTGGTTGGCAAAGAGATGATATTGGAGGGCAGCAAATGTCCTGAAATGAGACAATCTGCATTCTGAGTTGAGAATACGCTTATTCTCCAGTGATGGAGTCTTACAATTACATGGACCAGTTCCAGTCAGAGGAGAACAGTTTCTTCAAATTCTAGAATAGCGAAGCTCCTGCCGCTGTTCATCGATCGTCTCGTGGAAGAATCCTTTAACACATTACAGTAGTGGTTCTCAGCCCGTGGGTCACGGCCCCTTTGAGGTTCATATATCAGACATCCTGCATAGCAAATATTTACGTTATGACTCATAACAGTAACAAACTTGCAGCTACGAAGCAGCAAGAAAATAATTTTATGCTTGGGCTCACCACAGCTTGAGGAACTGTACTAAGAGGTTGCAGTGTTACGAAGGCTGAGACCCACTGCTCACACCATTCATTCTCAGCCATTCACCTACCATTATTATTCAGATATCCTTCTATTCATCTCCCCATTCTTCTACTCATCTACCCGCCCACCCCTGCATCCACCCCTGCATCCACCCACGCACCCCCCCTCCACGCACCCATCTCCTCCAGCATCAATTAAGCAGTCACTACGTGACAGACACTGAGGGCTAAGCTTCCAAAGGAAAGACATTGACTAAGAGTTGCTTCTGTCTGACTCACAAGGGGACACTATCTAGAGAGGCGTGCATAGACACCTGGAATGTTCAAAGACTAACTAACGGGACGAGGAGGGTGTCTGAGTCTGAGAAGAGACGCTCCACGTCAGTCTGGGGTGGAAGCACTTTGTAAATTGAGAGCTGAATTTCAAAACCACTGGCTGGCATTGGTCGGGGGAGGCACACACACAGGGAGGGAGGGGCGGAGAGTCTGGGTCTAGCACACCACGCATCTGTGCAAATGGTATTTCTGGTGGTCCAGTGTTAGGTCCTGGGGGAACGCCTCCATCCTTGATCGGTCCTCCTGGGCGTCCAGGCTCTTTTGGCCCTTCCCTGCCCAAGAGGTTGGGTTTACATTTGCGTTTGCATTCCGATGTTGGCTGGGTCTGCATCAATATTGGTCAAGTTTGTCTGGCACCAGGATCTTATGCCAGAGTCTCCCTTAGAGCAACTAACCTTTAGTGTTCAGCCCAGAGAGCCAGCATAAGGGCCCGGGCTCTCCTCTGACCACTTCTTCAGTTATTTTGTTCACAAAGGGGTGAAGTCTGAGGTTAGACCAGGGCAGGGTTTGCTTTATGAATTTTCTTGATGTTCCCAAGGAGGCCATTATCAACCCTCATATTTATTTTTATTTTACAGTATGGTTGATGGCCAAGAACCAGTATCTACTTATTCAGTTTTTGGAATCTCACAGTGTGACAGCCTTCATTTCTGTCAACAATGGTGTGGGCAGTTCAGTCCTGTCTGTCTTAAAATGTTGCAACCCGAATGTCAATCTGAGCAAATCTGGGCTTGGATTTGGAAATGCTGTGCGACCTTGGGATATTTCTTAACATATCTGGCCCTGAGTATTCTTGTTTGTGTGTTGGGGCAATATTGGGAATTTTTATGGAGTATGTAGAATTAATATTTGAAGTGTCCAGAACAGTGTTGTTTTTTTTTTTTTTGCACAAAGCAAAGAGGGTAGGAATGTTAGTAAAACACCACACATAGACACAAAACAGTGACCAAGTACAGGGCAGTGGTTAGCAGTGATTGCGGGGACCAGGCAGACATGGGACATTCTGCTTTGTCCTGCCTGTGTAGCCTTGGGGGAGTTAGCATCTGTGATACGCCATTTGCTCTCTGCTGAGGGGGGGCATAGACTGAGGAAATGGCTCAGTCTGTAAAGTGTTTGCTGCATCAGCATGAGGACCTGGGTTTGAATCCCTGGCACCCAAATAAAAAGCTGCTGCGTGCCTGAAACTCTAACAATGAGGGAAGGAAGCAAAGACAGGTGGGGGCTTGAAGCTCACTGCCAGTCAGTCAGTCAGTCAGTCCAGTCAGTCAGTGAGTCCTCTCAGTCCAGTCAGTCAGTCAGTCAGTCAGTGAGTCAGTCAGTGAGTCAGTCAGTCAGTCAGTGAGTCAGTGAGTCAGTGAGTCGTCAGTGAATCCTCTCAGTCCAATCAGTCAGTCAGTCAGTCAGTCAGTCAGTCAGTCAGTCAGTCCTCTCAGTCCAATCAGTCCAATCAGTCCAGTCATGTCCATGAGCTTTGGGTTCATTGAGAGACAGTGCTTCACAAAACAAGGCAAACAGGCGCGCGCACGCACACACACACACACACACACACACACACACTATTTTTCTGTCGGTTTGGTGGTTGCACATGAACCAACTGATATTTTAATTAGCATCTGTGGCCCTGTGGCCCCACAGTCAATGCCCCACTGGCCACTCAGGCCGAGGTCTGAAGGGCTTCTCTGTGGCCAGTTCTGGTCAGCTTGTCTCTATTTCCACCCCTGAATCATGGAAGACTTTATCTAACAGTCTCTGAGTGTCACAGTGTGATCAAAAATCCTGAAATACACACACACACACATGCACACACACACACGTACACACATTTACACACACACGTATACACAGAACCACACAAACCCGTATCCACATGAACACGCATGCACACAGATACCACACACTACATAAAAAAGTAAGGGAGGGATCACCATGGTTCACTTTCTCCAGGGTGGCTTGATGTGGAGATCCGGTAACCTGTGCCCTGCTCCTGGTCACTGCTTTGTTCATGGTTTTCCTTCTTCAACTTCTCCAGCTGAGGTGGCAAAAACATAAAATTACATAGCCAGGGCTGCAGAGGTGGCTCACCAGTTAAGGGCGCTGGTTGCTCTCCCAGAGGACCTGGATTTGGTTCCCAGCACCCACATGGGAGCTCACAGCCGTCAGTAACTCCAGTTTTTGGAGAGCCAATGCCCTCTTCTGGTTTCCGTGGATGCTGTACCCACGTGGCACACATACATGCAGGTAGGCAAACACTCACAGCCATACAGTAAAAATAAACCTTGAAAAGAGAATTATGTAGCCAGATATGCAAGAGAGAAGGGAGCCCCTGCACCCTGGCAATTCCCCGCTTCCTGAAAATACTTGAACGCCCATTAATTGACGGGGTCGCGCAGGGGAAAGGGCCTTCAGTTAATGCTGGTGCCACCTGTGATAAAGATCGTATCTGCTTCTTTTGACCAGTGTGGGATGCTGCCTGGGGACCTGCCCAAGGTGACACAGACGCAAAGGGACGAAGACAGCAATCTAGATTCTTTTCTTGATTCTTTTGTGAGTTTCATACGTGTGTACAATGAAACATGATCGTATTTACCCCGACTCCCTAACTTACCCCATCGCTTCTCCAACATGTTCTGCTTTCAACTTCACGCCATTTTTAAAACAACACTTCTCATTTGTGCACGGGAGTCCAACCAGCAGCCGCATCTTCAAAAACACAGTGACTCTCCACCCCTCAGCACCGGCCATTTTCCTGTAGCTCCTCGGCAAGGGGTGGGTCCTGGAGATCTTCTATCCACGCTGCACCGGGACTCTGGCTGACTTGATCGTGTGCAAAGAACCACAGATCTTGGGAGTTCTCGAGTGCAACAGCCATTTCACCACACCCCTCCCCATCCTCCAGTTTTCACCCCCCACCCCCCGGACATTTCCCCGAGCCTTGGTGATGCTGGAGTGATCAACATGTCCCCGGCGGGGCTGAACACTCAGTCTCTTGGGCACTCAGCACTGTGACAGCTGTGAATCTCCACCCTGACTGTTGTCCGCTCTCTGACCAAGGCTGAGCATATCCCAGGGCTGTGGGTAAAAGCATTAATATTTAGAAGGTAATTTGGCAGCATGCCCTTCAGCAAGGCAACATTAGCAGGCTCTGCCCTAGGCTTATGACCCTCGGAGCCACGGGCTTCTGCTCAGGGTTACAGTGGCAGGCGTGACAATCCCTCCCGTAGAGTGTAGACATCAAATCCAGTCAGCAAGTGGTTAGTTAGCCCACAACGGTCGCGCTGCGATTACACCAGGGGTCACATCTCATCTCTCAGGTCAGCATTACAGCATGTGCGGTCTAGCGCTGGCTAAGATCATGAACACACCTCGCCCCCCCCAACCTGCGGAACACCTACCTGCTCTAGGAAAGCTAGCCAGCATCAGGGGCGTCTCCCGGTTGGTTTGGTATTGCTCTCTCTATGACGAGGACAGTATGTGGACCCTTGGTTCCTCCCTTTTCCCATCCCCAAGCAGGCTGGGAGCCATGGATGTAAGGCTGGGTGTTAGTTCTCTTCCTCGCTGGCTGGGTAACGGATTGTGAGTCGTTTACCCCGGTTGACTACAGAGCTCTTAGCTACAGAATGAGGACCATCATAGCCAGCCTGAAGGTCTTCCTGAAGGAAGGTCAAGTGAGGCAAGAGCTGGCCCACAGTAGGTGCTTTATTGGTGTCTGTGAGTCTCTGCTCACTCGTAGGATCCAGCGGGGCCATTTTCAACACGCCCTCCTTTAGGCTTCTGAAAAAAGGGTTTTTAACAAGCAGACCCTGGCGATTCTTGGCCCTGCCAGCTCTCCACAGCTTCCTGGGAACTGTGTGTTTGTCTTGTCTGAGCTACAGTGTGCAAACTTGCTAGAGGGCCCGGCCTGTGGAAACAGCTGTTCGGGTACGTGTGTGGTAAGGAGTTTTGCAAACAGTAGCACGCCCTCACCACCAGGTTTGCTTCCTGAAGGGGGGTGGCCTTGGATTCCTGACACCTACCGCTAAAAGGAATGCATCTCCTTCAGTAGCTGGCTCACCCTGCCCACTCGGCTCCACCTACGACTCACAGCCCCGAGTCAGCCAAGAGATCCTTGGACCCCTCCATGGTAAGGGTCGAAAGGAAGTGGGTGACATGTTCCAACACGCAGACGATTCACGCAAGGGCTCTCTCCAGAGAGACTCATTGCAAGGTGTGAGGGCACCAGGACAGGGCGGCTTGGGAGACCGTGGGTAGCAGCGATGTCCCAAGGAGAGAGGGTTGGTTGGAGCAGGTTGCTTTAAGAACAGCGACTTTGCTTTTGAAACCTGGTCTCACGCCGTAGCACAGGCTGGACTGCACCTCACGATGTAGCCTGGGCTTGACTCGAAGTCTCAGTTCTTCAGCTTCCTAAGTTCTGAACCGTAGGCGTGAGCTATTCTGCCCTGCATACGAACAGTAACGTTTTCTTGTTGTTGTTGTTGAAGGATGCTTCAACTGGAGGTCCCCGCTCTCACTCCCCATCTCTAGTGTTTTGTTTGGTATCTACCTCAGCCCAGGCAAGGCAGGAGCCCAAGGGTGTGGAAGCTTATCACTGGGTGTGGGCACCGTTCATCTGGGGCGTTCACGGGAGGCGGGAGCTGGGAGAAACCCAGATGGACAGACCGACCGACTAGAGCAAGAAGGCGGAGACCAAGGAGCTGCCTGGATTACCCCCCCCTTCCCCAGATGCTGGTCCTGCTGCCAATCCCGTGGTCAGTCAGCACTCCTGTCCAGCCAGCAGCTCAACTACCAGGCAGCGCTGAGCAAAGTCTCAAAGCAACGTGAGGATCACGTGTGAGGATCACGTGTGAGGATCACGTGTGAGGATCACGCTGCCCCGTAATCCAAGAAACAAGGCGTTAGTGGGGAAGCCAGTCACAGAGGCCAGGGAAGAGAAGTTAAATAGGCCTTGTTGGTCTTGTTTGTTGTAGAGTCATGGGCTCACATTTCCTCGTTAGCTCTGTAAATAGGCAAGCCTTTTGTTGGGGACAGTCGCCTGTAAAACACCCAGGCTGTCCCCAGCAGATGACAGCATCTGGAGTTGGCGAGGTCTCGACTTGTTTGTTCTCATCTACTGAACTGTTTTGTGTATTAGGATGAGGTCGTTCATTCCAGGTTTGCTTACATTGGAAGGGCTTGCTAGGGATCGTATAAAATATGACCTCAAGAAAATATCAAACACCCTAAGAGAGTGAAATCAACTTGGTATGTCAATTAAATTTCCCGAGGGCAAGGGAAAAAATCAACAGAGGCCAACTATTAAAACATAATTGCAGCCATGCTGTGGTGGCGCACATCTTTAACCCCAGCACTCCAGAGGCAGAGGCAGGTGGATCTCTCTGAGTTCGAGACCAGCCTGGTCTACAAAAGCTAGTTCCAGGACAGCCTCCAAAGCTACAGAGAAACTCTGTCTCAAAAAACCAACCAACCAACCAACCAACCAACCAACCGACTGACCGACCGACCGACCAAACAAACAAACAAAATAATTGCATAGGGCTGGGGAGACATCTTACTTGCCAGGTAAGCATGAGGGCCTGAGTTCAGATCCCCAGAACTCCTGTAAGACTGGCCTGGGTAGCAGCCATCTATGATGCCAGCAAGATGGGAGAAGAAGGCACGAGAACCCTGAAAACTCAGGAGCTGGGCGCAGCAGAGAAGATGAGAGACCCTGCCTCAAAAAAGGTGGGGGATGAGGACCATCACCCAGACTGTCTTCTGGCCTCTGCATATGTGCTGTGGCATGCACATGCCCATACTCACATGCACGCGCGTGCGCGAGCGCATGCACACACACACACACACACATTCCTAAGATGGTAGGAGAATGTATATCTGTTACACCAACACTTGGGAGACAGAGGCAAAAGGATTGTGGGTTCAAGACCAGCCTGAGCTCCGAACTGAGACCCGATCTAAACTCAAACCAAACCATAAAAGTCACTATCGGGTTTGCTGTGACACTAAAGGATTTCAAACATTGTAAAGCTCTGGGGATTCTGTTTATTCTCCACAGCTGTCAATCATGCATAGCGCTCTGAGTCGCTGGCATCTGCAGCAGCCCTTGAACATCTCTGGGGCTTTTCCAGGACAGGAGAAGCTGTTTGGAGGGTGATCGTGGAAACCAAGTAGAGAATGCCCAGTTTTGTTACAGTCATCTGGAAACTTCCCCATCCCTCCTTTCATCCTAAGATTTATTCCTCTTCCCCCTTGGTGCCTCAGGGGTACCTGGGACAGTTTTCCCATTGGCCCTTTAGTGTTCCAACGGTGGGACACACCCTTGACTTCGCCTGCCTGTCTGTTCTGTGCCCCATTTCCCAGAGGCAATTGAGAGAGCACTGAGCAAGTGGCCCTACTCTCTGTTCTCTTGGGAATTCCCTCACTTGCTCTCCTGTCTTTGAGGCTGGTCTCTCTCTCTCTGAAACAGCATGTCTGTGAGCGCTTGGAACACACCACATGCATCTTGGTCCCCTAGAAGCCTTTGCTGCATTCGAAGCCACCAAAAAAGGCTGTGCATTCTTTGGGAGTTTCGAAGCATCCCTCAGATGTGCCCCTTTGATCACTATTCAAACCCTTCAGATGAGAAAGAGTTGGTTTGGGGGCTAAGCTTGTTGAAGGCATGATTGAGTAAGCAAATCATCAGAGACAGAAGGCATGCGATGTTTTTAGGGGGACTGCAGAGATAGTCCAGAGGTTAGGAAAGCTTACTGCTCTTCCACAGGACCCAAGTTCAGTGCTGACCGACATTAGTGGCTCACAAAGGCCTGTAACCCCGGTGGAGCTGGTGCCCTCTGCTGGCTACCACATGTAACTGCACTCACATGCACAGACACATAAATTAAAAAATGAATCTTTTTTAATGATTCTATGAGTTTTGTTCTTAATTTTTGTTTTTAATCTCTTATTTCTCCTCTTCAGCAAACCTATGCATTTTAAGTGAATTCTTTTGACTCCAAGCAGCAGAATGCCAGAACATGGTGGGGTGGTGGTTCAAACTGTAAATCCACTTACTTGTTTCTTGACTCAGTGGCTTGTTCGCATCAGCAGAGGAAGGACATCTTCCCATGTCTCCACGGACTCATGTTCTGAGCACAGGCGTTTGCTTCCAGTCCTGTCATGTCCCATGGCGGGCACTGGAAGGGGAAGGATGGCAGAGAAGGGTCTCCCCCAGGTGGCCCATCTGGATATGAGCAGGGAACTGTTCTTAGAAACCCTAACCAGATTTCCTTCTTGCTCAGGTCCTGCCTGCGCCCATAGAATTAACTGTTCACCGGCAGACAGCTCGCCGGCGATGTAGCACCTCCCCATGTCACTCCGTGCCCGCACTGACTTGAGGCAAGCTCCAGCAACCCCTATAGCAGATGCATCATGGCCAGGGAAAATGTGCAGGTTCTACTTGCGAAGAGGCAGAGAGTCAAATGCCTGCTGCCACAAGACCTTTACCTCAGTGAGGACGTGCGCTGAGGCACTTGATTTAATGTAAGAATTCTGAATTAGGAACGCTTTGTCAGGAAAGCACCCAGGTTCTCTGTGTCCAGAGTTCACCTTTCCCTGGATAAAGTTTTACATCTTGAGAACCCAAACAAGTTTCTTTTTCTTTTTGGGGGGCATAAAAAGGGAAAAGGGGAGGGGGATACTGGCCTCCAGGGACAGGAGCAGTGGGTAAGAGGAGAAAGGGGGGAGAGAGGGGGGACTTCTTAATATCTCAAAGACAACAGTAACGCTTTTCATGGCAGACAGAGGAGCTTTGACTCAGTGGTTTACGACGCCACTGTGTGGAACAGCGAGCCATCCTCCCAGGTATCAAATCCAAATCCGGGCAGCCATTACCTCATGCTACTTAAAGTGTGCTGGGGCTTTCTGTGTGTGTCCAAGGCTGAGACTCTCTGGACGAAGGGGGCTTATCAGTTCTTCCGTCTTCCTCTGTCGGCTAGTTCCGGGATGAGATTGCAGAGCAGGCTGGCTAATCTGCAGGAGGCGGGTGTTAGCCCAGGTTCGATGGTATGCACAAACAGGACACTGGGTGTGTTACTAAAGTGATCACGGTGTAAACCACCATATGCCTTCGATGGCAGCACTGGGTCTCCCTCCCTCAGCGGGCTCGTGGGCACACAACCTCATGGTGAAACTAGCCAGAGAGAAAAAAGCATTCAACTGCCATTTCTAGATATGAGCTGGATTCGTTTCTAGATATGAGCTGGATTCCTTCTACGTTTGCTCCTCCACCTTCCCAGGAGGAGGGAACAATGCTCCAGTGAGCAGATTCATGGCTTGGATATGAGCTGGTCTTAATAACCCCCGCTTTCTGTTTGTGCGTAGTTATTAAAAAAAAAACACACAACCCGGGGCCATGAAGTCTGCCTTGAAATTAGGCGTTCCTCCTCATATCCAAGGCATTAAAAGCCCAAAGAACATACCTGAGTTGAAATCCCTCTCTTGATAGGCGGAAGAATTGTGAATTCTAAGCAGTTTCTCTACACGGACGATGCATTCTTGGAGCCAGGGGGCTGCCCCTTCGTGAGTGATGGGGAAAGGGTCCCCAGGAGCTGTGCCTGCACCATAGGAAACAGGGTTGTGATGTCACAGTCTGTCTGTCCCTCGACGTGGGAGGAAATATTCACTTTCCAGAACTGGCTCCCCAGTCAGGTAAAAGAAATCAGAGTGGCTGTTGCTACCTGACTTTTAGGCGTGGTGCAGTGTCACAGCGTGCTTTGCAGAGAAATGGGCAGAAAAGGTTTGCACATTAAGACATTTTTCAGAGCCAGCCTTCCCTGGGGGGCTGAGTTAGTCACGTAAAAAATTACCTAGTGGCCACTTTTTACAGCTACTTTTTTTTTTTTTTTTTTGGAACAGCACAGAAATGTAGAGCAGGGTTTCTGGGCCAGATTACTTGATTGGAAGCTCGTCCTCGACACTTTTTGCTGTGTTTCTTTAAACAAGTTACCAGGAAGCTGGTTTGTTTGTTTATGTGCTCATTTATTCAGTGTGTGTGTGTGTGTGTGTGTGTGTGTGTGTGTGTGTGTGTGTGTGTACACGCGCGCGCGCGCATGGCATGGGTTGGGAGGTCAGAGGACAACTGTGAATGTCAGTTCTCTCCCTCCACCAGGCGGGTTCTGGGATTCAGGTTTGGAGGCAAAGCGCCTTATCCACTCGCTGATCCATGTCACTGGCTCAAGAAGATTTTTTTTTTAACTACCCAGGAATTTCCTCAGGAAATGCAAGTGAGCAACCGGATGGAACCAGACGCTACATGTATTTTCTGATATTGCCAACAGGTGGCGCAGTTAGATCACATTTTTTAGATTGGCCTGGGCTGGGGAGTCCTGCCCTGGGTTTAATGAACAACAAATCCCTCCCAACTGTGAGCTCTGGAATAAACAGACGATGCACGTGTCAGTTAAAGTGACAGAAACAGCCCAAGGAAACGTCCTGGCTACTGCCCTGGTTTTAAGATGTCAGCGTCCTGCATCTTTAACCTCACCTGCCTGGAGGTACAAATCCCGACTTCACACTTCAGATAATAAGCATCCCAGGAGTTTAAACGTCTGGGAGTCTGTTAAATAGTTGCCAGTGTCTGTGATGAGCAAGCCTGTGTCTTGTCATCGGTGTTGAGAAAAGCAGGGTAATAGCTGACTCCTGGCCTCACCTCAAAGGAGACGTCTACTTTCTTGATGCCTCCGATGTATTGGCAGGCTTCCAGCAGGCTACAGACACGAATGCTGTATGTGGGACCCTCCCTGAGTGCGGGAAGGTGGGGGTGCTGCCTGGGTGGATTGGAGCTAGGTGTGTATGTGGGCAGGGGCGGGGTGTTACAAGACGGGGCCATGTCTTATGCAAGCTTATGAAGAAACAAAGCTCATGAGGGTGGAGAAACATCCCGGTCCATACAGTGTGAAGACTTGACCTCAGGTTCCCCAGAACTTGTGTAGGAAGCTGTTGGTGACGGTGAGTGCCCATAACCCTCCCCTATCCCCGGGGTTTAAGATAGGAAGGGCAGGCCGGGCGGTGGTGGTGCATGCCTTTAATCCCAGCACTCGGGAGGCAGAGGCAGGCAGATCTCTGTGAGTTCGAGGCCGGGCTGGACCGACAGCCTCCAAAACAATACAGAGAAACCCTGTCTCATAAAACCAAAAAAAAAAAAAAAAAAAAAAAAAAAGATAGGAAGGGCAGAATAAGGGTCTGGAAGCCAATGGGCTGGGCCAACAGAAGGCCATTTGTCAAGGACCAACACATGAGGTTGTTAGCTAACTTGGACACGCTCCCTGCACACACAAACCCCTGAGTGCACCCCTGTGTACTCCCCCCCCCCCTGCAAGCAAGCCAGAGTATGGGCCAAGAAGAACTTTCTTTGCCAGGTGGTGGCGCACGCCTTTAATCCCAGCACTTGGGAGGCAGAGGCAGGCGGATCTCTGAGTTTGAGACCAGTCTGGTCTACAGAGTGAGTTCCAGGACAGCCTCCAGAGAAATCCTGTCTTGAAAAAAGTGATTAATAATAATAATTTTAATAATAATATTACAAAAAGAAGACCTCACCCCAATCCCTGTGCTGATTGCTGGACTTCCTGGGCCTTAGTTTAACTTCACCTGTGATAAGGGAGCAGGGGATCAGCCCACGTGAGGTGTAGATGTGTAAGTCTTCTAAACGTAGACACTTGTCCAGCATGTGGCTTGTCATCATCCCTGTACCCACCCAACTGCTCTCAGATCAGCCCCTGGCCCCTCCCCCCTGTGCCAGCATCCTCTTCTCCAAACAGGTGTCAGGTGTGAGGCAGAACTCAGCTCCTCTCCTCCCTGATGGAAGCACTGAGGTCCTTGGCTTCCCTCCTTCCCTCTGGGTCCCCAGTGGTCCCTCTCTTACACTCATAGAGACTGATTAGAGCTGAGGTGTGCACCCGGACAGAGCTGCACAGTCCTAACCTCAAACACGCTCCCCAAACCAAAGCTATGCTGTGGGGAAATCTTTCCCTACGTTGTATGTTATTACTTACTGGTTAGTAAGGAGCTGGCGGGCCAATAGCTGGACAGGTAGAGGTTAGGCAGGACACGCGGACAAAAAAAAAAAAAGAGCATAGGAAGAAGGAGGTTGGAGTCACTGGGAGATTTGGAGAGAAGCAAGACGACCACGCAGTGCTGAGAAAAGGTACTGCCGCATGAAAAAGGTACTGCCGCGTGGTAGAGCGTAGATAAGAAACATGGGTTCATTTAAGCGTAAGAGCTACTTAGTAACAAGCCTAAGCTATCAGCTTAGCATTTGTAACTATTATTGTCTGTTTGTGGTTCTTGGGGAGCTGGAACTCCCAACCTACAAAGCAACTCCTGGCCTCCCTGTCTGTTCAAGTTCTCTCTGAGAGCCCATACCATTCCCAGTTCTCTCTCTCTGCCTCCTGGTTGTTGTCTCAAGACGTCTCTCAGCCGCTACTCTAGTGCCATGCCTGTCCACTTACAGCCATGCTTCCTGTCACAATGATCATGGACTCACCCTCTGATACTAGAGCCCCTAATAAACTTCCTTTTTTTTTTTAAAGATTTATTTATTTATTATACATACAGTGTTCTGTCAGCATGCATGCCTGCAGGCCAGAAGAGGACACCAAATCTCCACCATGTGGTTGCTGGGAATTGAACTCAGGACCCCTTGAAGAACAGTCAGTGCTCTTAACCGCTGAGCTATCTCTCCAGCTTCCCCCCCACCTTTTTTTTTTTTTTTTTTTTTTTTTTTTTTGAGGCAGGTTTCTCTGTGGCTTTGGAGGATGTCCTGGAACTATCTCTTGTAGACCAGGCTGGTCTGAACTCACAGAGATCCACTGTGGGAACAATAGACCTTGGCCGGAAACCCACTCCTCCATCAGCCTGGGAGCAGGCAGCTGTGAGACAATGTTTATTGAAAACATGTTTACTAAAAACAATCCAGTGCCCTAAGAAATGTTTACCGGAGCTATAAGTTCCCAATAAGAGCTCGCTCACTGAAACACCCTGACTTTGATCTTTCCAATGGCTAGCCGCCTCTTCCTGCCCCCTGCTGCTGCTACCGATTCTGGTGTCAGGGATTTAACCACCAGCCAGGAGGAGGAAGGTGGGTGTGCGTGTGTGGGTATATGTATGGCAGAAGTTTTTCTGAAGGGAAGCATTTCTTGGGAAGTTCTCTTGAGCCTTCTTGGGGAGCATACAGTTTTCTTAACGCAACCGACTGGTCTCTGTGTCATCAATCCTGACACCCTCGCCACATTCTCGGATACAGGCTGCGCAGCGGGCGGGGCAATCCACCTGCCTCTGCCTTCCGAGTGCTGGGATTAAAGGTGTGCACCACCACTGTCTGGCAAATTTACTTCTATAAATTGCCTGGACCATGAGGTTTTCTCTCAGTAATTGAAAAGTAACCAAGACAAGGCTCAAGTCTCAAAGAAAGAGTTGTAACCTACAGTATGCATGTCACTGTGTGTGTGTGTGTGTGTGTGTGTGTGTGTGTGTGTGTGTGTGTGTGTGTAGGGCCACCTATGGGAAAATGTTGAAGTTTAAAGAGATATTTTGAAATGACAGATTTTGTACTATGCTCAGGGGCTTCCTGGGACCAAAGCTCTCAGGA